CGGAAATCTACCCGAGATGACCTCCTTCTGACGGATGTCGGAGTACGCTTTCCAATTTACACGGGAGGTCCCTTTCACTTGTAATTTTAATTAGAGCTTTCCAGACTACGCCCATTGGAGAATGTAGCTTTGCAATCAATAATAATTAGATTTTTGAATTAAGTGACCATATTCATCTATTGGGCAACTGGTTCTTTAGATAAAGTTGTGTTTTGTCACGGTCATTCATAAGTACAGAAATTCTAAATTTAGATCGGGAGGGGAAGCGTGAACGCTTTGTTCATACTGAGAATAATCAAAAGTAATTTTAACTTTCTAAAATTTTCGTCCAGGAAAGTCGTTGCATAATACTTCGTGAAGCCATTGTTGAATCTGTAGATGCACATATCGTAAAGCGAAACTAAAAATGTTCAAAAGCCGCCAACAGCAGCCAAATGTACGCGCTCTTCTCCCTTGTTCTGAAAGCTTAAATAAAGAACAAATGAATTATAACAAAACACTAAAATAATAATAAAAAAAAGCTTTCTGACTGATTCGTTCAAGTCAAAGTGCACCAAGAAGTTGCATCCCCTAACATGCACGTTTGTGGTTTCTGTATATCTGTCAATCTTAAGTTCATTATTGCATCATCCTCTGGCCTGGTCCACGGTGCTTGACGAAGTGTCATGCACTTGGCATCACGAACGCTTCGCAGCAATAGGGCATGGACGCCTGAGTAGGAGACTGGGTACGCCCTTTCATTTAACTGAAGAAACGAGAGAATGTGTTAAAATTTACACGTGAATTACACTAGAGAAACCATTGAGTGTAGGGAACCATACAACATGGCGCAAGACTTATTAGTTGATACTGCATTTTTGCACGAATTCTCGTACCAAATACCACTATAAGGTGTGAACAACCTGATCAAATTGTAAGGCTGGCACTACATAAAATGATTAATGCTAAGTATCTTTTATTGGAATACGGTCGACGAACGGATTCATTGGCCCTGAAAAAGAATTTCCAAGTTGTAACTAAAGGGTACTTTGCTATAATGGCGGCACTCGCTAAACCTTCGACGGGTCTCATTTTTTAATCTTACCACAGACGACCAAATGCAAATCTTCTAGCTCTCTCAGAACTAGGAACATTAATCAGAAAGAGGAACTAGCTTTTATTCCGAAACCATTTATTTCGTTGTTCTTCAAATTAATAAGACATCATAACATTCTACTGACTGCCGTTTGGAACGGCATTTCTATATTCCTTTTTGCTACAATGAGCCTCTGTAATAGCTCAAACTTTATTTTGACATTAAACTTATCATGTTATTTTTCCTATCGTTTTGGTTTTCGTTGTTTCACTGATTTTGTTGTGTTTAGTTGTGTTTTTACATTTTACATCAGGTTTCATTGCTGGGGAAAAGCATTACATTATCAACACAACCTCAGCACAGATAAAGATAGAGGGGATAAGTAATGTAACCAGCGGAAAGATTGAAGATAAAACTTTCCATGGTCCTAACAACGGAATTTGGAACTACTCTGTGGCAGCGTTTAATTTCACTTCAAGTGAAGCCAAAGATATCTTTCATGAAAAAAACAAAATATCTATCCGTGGTACGAATGCCCTTTCTGTGATCGTTCAGGGCAATTTTACGGTGGGAACTGATTTAGATGTGAGTGGTAAAGATGTCAGTTTTACCTCAAACGATAAACAACTGTTTTGGCTCGGAGGATTTATACGGATGAATAAAACTTGCTGTACATTGGGTAAGTAAACGTTTCATTCAAGTATCGTAAGTGTGCATGTAATAAGGAGAGAAAGACAGGAAAATTTTGGTGAAATTCTAGTTAAGTAATTTTGATTCAGTATTCTTGAATTGAGTATCGAGATTAATCCTGGATTGCTTACTTCGCTCTGTGATTGGTTTAGAAAACTCTCGCCATCATCTTAACCACCTCGGTCACACGTTTTCCCGCGCTTCGAACTGGTTGCCTGTTTTTACTTTGAATTCCCATTGTGATAACTTTGATTTTGGATTTTTTGACACTTAATTCAAAACTTCTCCATGTACAGCCAATAAAACGAAAATAATCAAACAAATGAATCAACGAATGTATGAATATACAAATAGATAAATGGATATTAAATAGATTGAAATAAAATGCATGAATGATAATTTTTTTATATATGATTACTGTCTCTACTGTCTTTCTATTAAATACCCCGAATCAAAGGAAACTTTCTTGATTGAATGAATTAAAAGTTATCAGCAGAATTAAGTTATCAGCAGTATCACTTTGGTGCATAGTTGTTCAAGCAACTGTAGATTCCAACATTCCTTTTGTGTTTCTGTACTAATTACAGTTTTTCTCTCCTTCGGTTTATTGATAGGTGCGGGGCCTGGTGGAGCCTTTAGCTATCACGGTGGTGGTCATGGCGGCAGAGGGGGAGGTTTTTATCAGGACAGGAACACAACTAGACTGTACGGGTGGAATTACTTCGATACCATTTACCTACTAGGCGGCAGCACAGGTGAGATCGTTAATCCAGGCAATGATTAAAGGTTGTTGATTTAATTTCCACGAGCGATGGAAAATAAGAAACACATTTTGGAATCCTTGTCAAACTGAGCCTCAGGCTTTCAGCGAGATGGGTCATGTTAAGCCGGTTACTTTCAAAAAAATCGTTTTATTTTCAGTGCTATTGAGTTAGAAAAAACAGTCAATTAAAATTTTTCGAAAGAAAAATTTCAAAACCTCAATAAGAACGCGTGATACGGTTGATAAAATAATGTTTTGGGGGAGCCTATACCGAAGTGCAAAAGGTGTGATAATCGCAAAGGCCTCCAGCGGGGTTTTCGCGGGCTCTCGTCGGCCTTCAGCAGAGTTTTCGCGGGTTTTCGTCAGCCTCCAGCACAGCTTTCGCGGGCTTTTGTCAGCCTCCAGCAGAGTTTTCTTGGGCTTTCGTCGGCCTCTAGCAGAAGTTTTGGCGGGCTTTCGTCCGTACAGTGGGGAACACTTAATCGGTTTTAATCTTAGGTGTTCGCTCAGTGAATACTGCTCGCCAGGATAATCCCCGATTCCGAAAGAGTTCCACAGTACGAATTAAGGTCCTAGAAAAATTCCCAAGACAGGGGAAGGAGGTTTCAACGGGAGGTCGAACGAATCAGATGACAATGAATTTCATGATCAGAGTGTCCATCTTAGTTTGAATCTAAAGCACTTACCTATTGTTTACCAAAATCCTATACTATAATTGTAATTGTGAAAACAAATTAAAGGTGTGGTTAATTAGACCGTACGGAAGCGAGCTTTGTTAATCTTTGCTTTTAGGATGTTAAATATCGGTTGAAGATCCGTCTCAACAGTGGAGATGGGTGTAGGCACTATTGACTTTAGGTCAATTGAGGGGAAAATCGACCAGAAGCTCGATTGAATTTAATGATAACGTTCGTTTGTTCAATCTAGTCTAGTTTAGTTGAGTCCAGTCCAAACAGTCTGTCTGGAGACTACGCGTTCGATAAAAGCTTTTCTGTTTCATTGTTATGCGTTATTAGTACACGTTTCTTTACTCAGCGAAATCTCAATATTTCACGAGGTTTCCTTTCTTTTCCCTCAAATTTAAGTTACAAATGTTTCCTTTCCCTCTTTCCTCTATACAGGAACGAATTTGTTCTCCAGCAAAGCAGGGTCTGGCGGTGGAGCTATAGAATTGAAGGCAATCGGTGGAACACTAACCCTGAGTAAGAATCAATCACTTTTCTACGTTATGATGTGACATACATATATATCAAATATATAGTATTTTCCTGGTACTGGGCATCGATCTTGGAGTTCCATAGCAAACGCCGTTTTATTTTGGCGATCAGGGTCGCGCATTAAAATGCAACGCAATTGCACCCTTTAATGCAGAAACCTTTCATCATTCCGAAAAGAGCGCCTCAAAATATATTTTAAACAGGCGAGCTATCATTAGCCTACTTAGAATTTGTAATGTGACAAGAGGACCCATACTTGGATTTACATCGGCAAAGGTAGTGCCTAACTTGGGTCGTGCTTAAAACTTATATAAATTTCTCTCCCATCATTTCACCCGAGAGTGACTCTGACTGAATAGTAAAAGCGCTAATTTGGATTTTGAACTGTTCTGGTCATATTCCTCATCAGCTATCGTCGGTTTTGAATACAAGCGTTTTCCCGTTTAATCCCCCGATGAAAGCTCAGTGTGGGCCATTTGTGTTAAGTGTTTGAGAGGCTCTGGAAAAATTATGTCATCTACTCAACAAAAGCCTACTGTTAAGTCTGAGAATTTTAGGAACATATCTGAACAAGTTCTGAGGTTTGTTTGCGTGTCTCACTTGAGTGGTCATGCTATTCTCAAGCTTTGACAAATTTTGTAATTAAAGAGGCTAAGTGAGGGGTTTGGTGTTATCGAAGAAATTAACAATTAATTATAAAATTGTTCAACTTTGCCATTTTTAATCCGAGTTAATCCTTTCCATTCTCCACTATCCCCATTTTTTTAATGTTTTCCTACCTGTCTGGTTTCTAGTTTCAGGCAATTAATTTAAGGTTTCCATTTTTTTTTTTAGAGGTGATTCTCTTTGACGCGCAAAATGACCCCAGCTCCTTTACTGGCGTAGACGACTCTCACTGAAAAGTTTCTTTTTTTACGACTTCATTTAATTTATGTGTTAACGGGACTCTCTTTTTCCAGATGCCGCAATTAAGGCTGATGGTTACTCGACTGGCAACACAAGTGATGATCACTGTGCAGGGGGCAGTTCAGGAGGATTGATACGACTACAAGGAAATAGGGTAAATGCAAAAAAAGGGAACAACAATAACTGATAAACATACGTGAACCGTGTGTTTGCCAGAAGGACAAATGCATCATACGGAATATGATACATGCAACATGGTTTCTTAAAAGGGTTTTTTTTCTCTTTGATCTAAGACGCAAAAATATTTTCGTTAGTGGACTATAATGATTATTGACCTAAGACAAAAAGCCTAAAATGAAACAAATTCATTAACGGCTCTTTATTTCTCTCAAGGTGGTGATAGGAAACAACGGAAGTTTATCTGCAGTTGGTGGGGACAGCGGTTTTAGCTCTAACCATTCGCATTACTGTGGAGGTGGTGGAGGAGGTGGAGTTATTCAAGTCTTTTCGCAAACCGATATTAAAAACTATCCAGCAAATAGTCTGAAAAGGACTAATGGTGGACGAGGATTGCGAGATGGCGAGGCAGGACAAGAACAAGTAGCTTGTGAGTATTCTTTATAAGAACCCAAGTAGTTAGGCACAGTAATTACTAGAACAAACGCCCCCTCAAAACACGCCTATGATGAAGACAAAACAACTTATAACCACCAATTAGAAGAATGCAGCATTAATTCAAAGCAATTACGGTATAACCGCATTCTTGGAATAAGAACATGGATTGTTTTACTTAATGTTTTAAAAATGCTTTCCCGTAATATTTGTCGGTGATTTTAAGAAGTTGTGATTTTGAAAATAAACGCATCGGAAATGCCAATTAAATTACCATCGTATTGAATTAATTAAATGAGATATTTTTAGACTCTCTCGTAATTAAAGTGCAAAACGCGAGCCCCACGCTTCACGTGTTGCTTTATTGATTTGGTGAGAGATGAATCGATACCACATCCAATTTTGGGTCTCTGTAAACGGCAATTATCAGAAAATGGCCCAAAACGGATCAGAGAATAAGAACTCTATTGGGAATCTAGTGTATTAGCTTGATCCTGTTTGATTTGCACAAACGTGAAAAGCACCTGAAAGAGGTTTGAATTAGAGGTCCATTTCATATTTCATCGGGAAAGAAAAAATAATGACATGGAAAGAATATGCATAAGGGTGGAGAGGGAGGGTTTGTTCTTACGTCGACTAGTCACCGAAGAGCACGTGGAAACCAGTCAAAAGAAAACCCACACGTATGCTTAAAGCTCTGTTTCCGGAACACATCCGTACTTGTAGAATAAGTTTATTCATCGAGAGGACAGAAAATTCTTTTGTGACCTGTATACTGACTGTCGGGGCTTTTAAGGCTTTAAGATTCAATTGCTTTTGTTTTCAAGCGGTTTCAATTAAGAACTCAATTCAAAAGCAGCCGCGTTTTCTCATGGCTTTTTTTTTTCCAGTTGTATCTTATGAGAAAGAAAGTTAAAGATACAAAAATAGATTTCTTTTTCTTTTTTTATTGCAAATCGAAAGAGGGCCTGATACGCAACTAAAATACATTGAGATGATGGAACTGTATGAAAAACCTTAGATGCCATGCGATGGGATTATTGAAGGGTTAACCGATTGCGTTTTCAATTAATTTGCTGGCGTAAACCGATCAAAAACAGCAATCTGTAGGTTAAGTAATCATACCCAGAGCTTCTCGAACTTTGACGGATACAAAAAACGAGGAAGCTTGCGGCTTTCATAAAGACCTCTTCACAGTGGGTAACCTCAAATTCACCCCGGGCGATCCAAAGGTTGTTTCGGTTTTTCTCATCGCGTCAATCCATTCTCCATGAGATTGAGGTAAGAGGCCATCATTAATCACCCGCGATGCTTCAGGTGAGTTATTAAAAGGATTATCCCCTCATCTTCGTACAGAATCGCTTGTTCCTTGCATTTAGCAGGAGGAACATAAGGAATTTTCTCTTCCTGCCATTCGAATTTGTCTGGTGACATTACCTACCCTCAGGCATTGACAAATTAGCGCATATGCTCAAACGACCTAAAGAATGCGATAGAGGATACACAACAAATATACTATTTACACCCCTTTAACGAAAAGACAATGTCATCGACCTCTCAGACAATGAGAGGTTAGGTATAACCAGAATTTTTGTCTTCCTAACTTACGGGCAGCGGGACACATCCACTCACGACGATTATTGAGTGTATAGAATTCCGCGTATGAAACATGTGTCATGATGGATTTCCTCACGTTACCTTCACTCTGCTTCTTGTAAGTTGTTTTATTAGCGGATGTGTTGGGGAGGATCCAATGTATAGTAAGTATTCTATTAAGTTTGTTCTGATGTACGGTTACTACTGCTTCATGCCCTACAGTGAGACTATCGAATAAACATGCGGCGATGGGCAAGCGATTCGCCTCATCTGCTCAGATAAGCGGTTTTAGTTATAAACCAGAAGGAAATCCGGTAAGATCGTGCCATAGAGATTTGATTTTTAAAGTCACTTTTCGAAAGATTTCGCGGCTTTGCAAAGGGTCCGGCGATTTCAAGAAGAAATTGTCAATTTCGATAGGTCCCTGCGGGACGCAAACGATCTGAATCGTTTAAGATAGGTGTGTATTTCTATTAGATAAGTCTTCAGGTGGACACCCACTGATAAATTTTCCTCGAATCTTCCATCCAAAACACTTTTTACACAATCCTCTAATCTGCAACATGTGAATTTAACTTCTCCTTTCCTCTTTCGTTACTATTCTGTGTTTTTACTGTTGAGAATTTTAGGAATTATGCAACGCGGCAGTTTAAGAAACACTTGACACGGCCTTTGATGATTACATTAATGATAATAAACTTTTTTAAATGGATGCGAGACAAGTCGATGCAAAGACAAATTTTATTTGTTCCTAATCATAACCTGGTAACAGTCGCATTATATTTGGTGAGTTCAACTTATTAATTTGTCACTTAGCCTGTTAAGTGTAGATTATTTCAATCATTTATCGTTGCGAAACATATCAATTTTCTGAGTCAGAGTGAAAATAATAAAAAAAAAAACTAATTGGATTATTTAATTGAAATAAAGTCAAGTTTGGTGTATCCATTTTCCAGGTATGATTTATAATATATAGTTGATCTTTTTCCAAGGATAAAATTTTTGTTGGTCTGTTGCTTGATTTCCTCGGATAACGGGAACAAAATACTGATTATTTTGGCGCAAATTAAATCCAGAGTCACAACTGAGTAATTGAACATTGCGACAGTTAACCAAAATTGCTGTATCAACTCAATTTTCGTGTTCAAATAAACACAACTTTCCCGTAAAATCGACTCGTTATTGCAACATGACTATTCGGACCCAAATCTTTGCTTTTTACTTGCATGTGCAGACAAGGTCATTTGCTTGCGAGCTGTGAGTAATAGATAATTGCTATTTTCGTCCGAGCATACTACGTCTTTGTCGGCGTCAAAAGATGTCATGGTAAGATTGAGATTGTGGTTAGTTGCAGGTCAAATCCTCACATGAAATTAGCTTATGGGTTCGATATTTTAGCGGAGTTTTCACTGTTCTTATTTCAGGTTAACCCTTATTAAGGTAAAATATACATGCTGCTCAAGTGTGACTTAATAAATTTATTCTAAAAGGTCAATGGAAATTTCGGTTACGATATGATAACTGATCTCTATAGTTTCTAATGCTTTACCGCAGAAATAATTATTTAGTTTTGACTTAGCGTGGTTTCAGCCTGCTAAAATTGTGAAAATGGAACGAGCCGAGTCCACGCGAATAATCGTGAAATCGAACAAACAAAGCTCTCCGCTAGTCAGTTCCTAGTCCACTCTTTATCCAATCATCTGTGTAAAACAAACAGTTTACGCCTCAGTCACGTAAAAATTCACCAATAATTTGTAGTTAAGACACATTAACGAGTTGTGATGAGTGTTGAAAGTTTGAAGTGTGCAACAGAGAATAAAAACATAACAATTCCTTGTGGTACAGCCAGCGGTATCTTTATAACTTCTTCACATATACTCAAGGCCTCTTCAACTTCTAAAGTGCACACGGATTAATTTGCAGATTTTTGCTCTAAGACTTGTATCATCTTTCTCTATTACACTCTAAAATAATAATAATAATAAATTTTCAATGAAATGCCAAGAAAACTCGTGATTATGAATCATTGAAACAATATTTGGGGCTTGGTTCCTCTTCCTTCACTTCTCCCTTAGGATCTTGTCACCAGTTCTCTTTTTCGGGCTTTTCTTGATCATCTTCTCCTAAGATTCAAGGTCAAGGAAAAAATGGGTGAATATTTGTTTTCTGTCAACAGACATGCTTACGACTGTTTTGATTTTTTTGCTTGTGGCCGAGTTTGAAATGGTTCTTTTCGATTCTATCAAAAAAAATTGTCTGACGAATTTGTTTGGTAAAAATAAGTTTGCATGGTTGCAGATAAGCTGTTTTGAATTTGATACCGCGATTTGCATGCGAGCTGTTATATCTCGTGCCCCGATAATCGGTACTGAGAGCATTACATATAAGTTTGATAAAAAGCGACACATTCAAGAGCTTCAGAAGTAGAAGCAAATTCAATTTTGTTATCTGTATTTCACACCTATTTTTATGAAGACAGTTGAGAGAATAGGCTTATATACGTGCCTCTTCAGTAAGTTTATAGGAAGAGGAAGATTACGAAATCGTGAATCGTTTTGGGAACTCGAATTACAAAACCAAAATCCTTGTTAAAAGGCTGATAAAAGCCGAGCAGAAAACAGAAAAGAGGGATGAGAGGAGAGGAAAGGGAGAAATTGGCCAATCCCACCAAGTCCAAGAGTTAATCAATTTCATCATCATTCGACCTTCTTTTCCTGTATTTATTGCTTTAATCTCATTGGTTGACTAAAGTAGGTTAATGACCTCGAATATACAATTGCCATGAGCCTCTGACATATTTCACCTAGTAATTTTTTGTTGTCCATTTGATGTCCTTTTCAGGGTGTTCTGTACTTAAACAAAGATCACATAGTTTCAATAAAACCGTAATGGTTTTGAAATGAACTTTGAATTCTTTACACCGCACTCGGCTGCCTTTCGTGCAGTTTTTGAATTTTTCTTTCTTTCTACTGCAAGCGTCTGCATTTATCCTTGCCGTTTAGTCTTTCCAAACACTTTCTAACCGCTGAGCTTCCTTTTTTTCTAAGGTCCAGGTATTCTTCACAACGAGGCTTGGAGATTTTTTTTTTACTCAACTACGCAATGACAGCGATGCAAGATTGCATTGCTCTATTTATCCATCGTATATCACCTTTTGACACATACTTTCTTGAACCATTCTGCATTTCAGAATCTGAAATATACAGCTTGCTTTAGTTTTGTTGCCAACGAACTAAAGATTACTGGCTTTAATGGCAGCATGAACATCAGAAACTTCTGGAATGAAAAAACGCGATTTCAAAATTACGAACAGGCGACCTTGCTCAAGAGAGGTGAACAAAGAACACTTATAAAATGCTGGGCCTGGTTTGAAAATTGATTAATGTTGTCCATTTTAATTGAAGGGTTGAGTGCAATGCAAGAGTGTTTTGACCGATAAGACTAGCGGAGAATGGTTTTTATCAATTAATATGAGAAGAGTTCACCCATAGGGTAAATAACTGGAAAATATCAAAGTGGAGTTCTCCTGATATCTGGTAGAGTTAATTGAGTCTATTATCATCGGAGAGTAGTAAGGAGGGATTTTGTTCATTCTTCTAATGATAAGTTAGTGCTGAATACTATACACTATACAACGATATGTCTGATGCAAAATCTTCTGAGTGAGAAATCGCTATCAAACTCAATGATCGATAGTTTTTAATGCAATCCAATGCTACATATGTAGCGTTGAAATATAGATATTTAACCGATTTTTTATTTTTAAGCGTGTGGGGAAGTGTAAAAGCTCTCTTCATGGTAAATTGTTACCTACGAAAAAAGTGTGTTCATTCGTTGTATCTCAATGACCGTAACAAAAAATCTAAATCGTGCTAACTCTTCTTTAAAACATTCATTAGATATCAATAATTTGATAGAATATGCCTCAAGAAAAAAAAACAAAAAAAAAACAAAGAAAACAAGCAAACGAACAAACAAGATACTTTCCATATCCTTTCCCGTCCACTTCCTTTGACCTCCAATCTGCATTCGTTGCATTTGATCGCTTGCGCATCAAAGCGCATCTTTCATGGATTTTCGGGTGCACTTAACTTAAGGGGATAGTGTTATATATTTAGAGAATGACCTTGATGAGTGCATAATCGCTCGAGATGAACGAGTAAATAAATACCACATGAAACAGCGAAGAAAGGTTGTTATTGATCTGATACAGAAAAAGATTTCAAATATGAAAAAAAAAACTATTGTTGAGTGTACGTGGCGAACGCAAAAGATTTCATTAACTTGTGAATTTTAATGAGAGATTTTTAACTGATCATTCCCGAATTCGAAAGCTATCTTAGGTGACAGTTCTGCAAAGAAAGTTTGTAACGTCTTAACATTACATATAATGTGGGCAGTGGCCGTCGGTTTTTTTCAATCCAAAAAAAATACATCTCCCTTTTCGTCTGGCATTTTTAAGTTTTCGTTGTAACTGCAAGATTTTCACTCGAATGTTAGCTTCCTATCGTACTCAGGATGAAGCTAAAAAAAGCAAATGTTTAAACTGACGCCTTCCTTTGGGCGTACCACACCATGACATGTCTTCGGCATTTGGAAATGACAACAGTAGCAACGTCTAATGGTTAAAACTTATTGGACTTCTGAAATTCTTCTTGTTTACCTGAGAGTTCCTTTGAGAAAAGCTTCCAGCCTTGACATTTTGACATGTTCTTGAGACGTGAAGTGGAACAATTTATTATCGGTGTAAGCCCTATTCTATTCAATATTAACTATACTGAAAGCCGCTCGAGCAAGCGGTCCTATTAAAGTTATTAATAAACTAAACAGTATCTGAATAACTTTTTGCAGTGTACTTCGACCGCCAAATGGATTTAAAGATCAACACAACAAGTTGTAAAATGTCCTGGACTAATAATCACGAATACGCTGGCGAAATCGAGCAAAGGACTTTCAAGAAAATGGCTTACAACGTCTGCAAAATTGAATTCAGTTCATCAATTCGTATAGGAAGACAAGTGAGCGTAAAAATCAGTGGAAAGAGAGCTTTATCTTTGATCAGTATGCATGGAAGCATTGAGATATTTTCCCAGATAGATATCGACGCCACGGAACATTCGGATGAAAGCCTCTCTGAGACAAGCATTGGAGGATACGTAAAAGTGTCCCATGATGACAAAGCCGCAGGTGCGTTACTACGACGATGATATCATCTTATTTGACTCCTATAAATGCAATTTTCAACTGTTTTGGTTTTGCTTTACCTAGCCATTTGATTGGTCCAGAAAACCCGCACCATCCTCTCAACCAGTCAGATTGAAAACTATAAACTACTCGCGGCTTGGTCGCGCACGACTTTTTCGCGCTTTACACAATGTATTTGTGACATTTTCCTTTCCTATTAATGGCTCTTCTGATTACTTCCACCTTTGCTCTGTTAGGTATACTCGGGCCGATCAAAACCAGTTGAGATATGAAACGTTGAAGAGACGACCTATGAAAAATGAAAACTACTCTCTTAGCGCTTTTTATTTCCGGTACCATCCCAGACTAATTTTAAGGGGACAAAAATCTCAACATAAAATTCCTGGTACCTTCAGTGTTGCGACACTTACTTTTTCCTACTTTCGAGGTGCCTTTATATGTTTGATTATTAGTGTACATCTTTCAAGAAAAATATCTCTAAGTTGCGTTTTGTTTAGAGTCAATAATTTCGACGAGTTTTGCTTCGTTTCGCTCACAAAGGTCCTGCTGGTCCTAACTGTAGTTCGGATGAATTGTATGGTCGAGATTTTGATTCCTTGTTAGGCGGAAGTGTGTGTTCGTGGGAAGGTAAGTGAAATCAAATTCTGTTTGAAAATGCAATTTTGATGAAGTGTAGAGAGTAAATGAAGATTTCTCGCTAATGATAACTATGACAAAAATGAATTCCGACGATGTTAATGATCATATTGATAGTAATAATGATACTAGTAATAGTACTAATATTAATTCCATCATTATTATTATACTATCCCATATCAATATCATTTCATTAATTATATTATTGTAATCATTATGGATCCATAATGATGACGATACTCAACTAATTGTGAGCCTTTCACACGACAAATCCCCGCAACCAAATTGAGTGTTTACCTATGATAGTGACCCCACAGACAACGAAACGGAGCTCGATGCAATTTTTCCCATATCATTCATCTATAACTCTTGTACTTGTTTTGTTTTGCTAAATGCTGTCTAAAGGGTCTTTTTTATTAATTCACAGAAGGATTTAAGGCTGTCGGAGGAGGGGCTTTGGAGCTGAGAGCAGAGTCTGGAGCAATTGTCATAGGTATGAACATTTTCAAAAACCGTTTGATCTCTCTCAAGGCCTTTACTGCGTTGAAGGGTAAGGAAGTACAATAAGAGAAAAAAAGCAATAAATATGTTTAGTTAAGCCTGCTGCATGCTGCCAAAATTGAAGGCAAACCAACACTTATTAATGTACATGCTCGAACTAAGTTTTGGGTGACAGAGTAAAGGTTCTTGGATACCTTCAGTGAAAAATTTACGAAGCCAAGAATGTATACATATAAGACTGAATAAATAAATGATTGAATGAATGAAAAAAGGAATGGTAATAGGAACGAAGAGTGGAGAATGAAAAATAATGAAGAAGAGGGGAAGCACGAAAGGAAGAATATACTAAAGAATGAATGAATGAGTTTGACTTTTTCTCTCTGCAGATGAAACCATTTCTGCGAATGGTTTCTCTAATAACAGTGGTAACGCCGGCGCCATGGGTGGAACTATTCGTTTACACGCCAAGGAGGTTCGAGGATTAATCATAATCGAGAATTTTTCAATTGAGAGTCGAAAGTTATCCGGAATTGCCTCGGTTTTCTTTTACTTCGTTCTGTGATTGGTCTGAAAGCCTCCGTCACTTTGTCATTTAGTCAAGTGAAAAACTAAGACCAATCACGCCTTGGTCGCCCGCATTTTGCCGTAATTTAGGTAAAGGGGTAAGTTTCTAAAGAAACTGTGGTGCTGCGTCGGTGGGGGAGTATAGCAGGTAATTTAGTGTTAACAACTCAGTTGAAAACGTAAATTAGCCACCGTAAAGGGTAAAAAAGCTGACGTTTCGAGCGTTAGCCTTTCGTCAGAGCGATTAGAGGAATTGTGGGTTGTGTGTGGTTTATATGTAGAAAGTGGAGCTACGCCATTGGTGGGAATTAGTGACGAGAAAACAGGAATAAATTAGTTGAATGAAAAGCGCTCGTTGATTCCGTGGGGATTAAGGGTGCCGATTTGAAATATAAATTTTTGTTCTAGTGTTTTGATGAACTGCCTAGATGTAAGGAAAGGCCGCCGATGTATAAGTTGCATATACATTTTCCGATGCAATAAGTTATACATCGGCGAGACAGGGAGACGACTGGGTGACAGATTCCGAGAACACCTTCGCGATGTGGAAAGAAATGACAAGGACGCATCCAAGCCAGTCGCTAGACACTTTAATCTTCCTTATCATTCTAAACAGCATGTGGCAGTTTGCGGCCTTTCCTTACATCTAGGCAGTTCGGAAAGCCGTAAAACACTAGAACAAAAATTTATATTTCAAATCGGCACCCTTAATCCCCACGGAATCAACGAGCGCTTTTCATTCAACTAATTTATTCCTGTTTTCTCGTCACTAATTCCCACCAATGGCGTAGCTCCACTTTCTACATATAAACCACACACAACCCACAATTCCTCTAATCGCTCTGACGAAGGGCTAACGCTCGAAACGTCAGCTTTTTTACCCTTTACGGTGGCTAATTTACGTTTTCAACCGCGTAATTTAGGTAGTTTGGTTGCATTTACTTTGACTTCCCATTGGCTATTGAAGATATTTTCCTTTTTTTCCGATTGGCTGTTGTGATTACCTCAGTGCTGGTCTTACGACACTCAATCGGAAAATTCTCAAAAGAAAAGTTATTTATACGTAGAACACGTATTAATATTTATAGAATGCGTCTAAATCAGTACGTTCAATGGAGAGAAAGTGCAGTTTGGCATACAAACTTCTCTTTTATCACCAGATCCATCTGAAAAGAAAAGCTCTGCTGACAGCTCGCGGCTCAGGTGCAGGTGGAGGTGTGGTTCAGCTCAGGAGTGATGTTGATGTGGATGGATTGTGCGAATCCAAATTTAACGTAACTGGCAAGACATTTGGTCTTGTTAACATCCTTGGTGAGTATAAAAAAACTCAGAGCAGAAATATTCACCGCAGGTGAACTGCAATCTTAGCAATTGCAGATAAGAGGCCTGATCAAATTCAAGTTTTGATGGGATTCGGACCCGTGCCCCCAGATACTCGTTGCGAACGTTGAGTGCGTTGGGCGCTACCACCAACTGAGCTAGTGGGGAGCGAGGCGAATTTTTCTGCGTCGTTCGTACCCTTCTCTGCAAGTGCTAAGATTGGAGCTCACCTAAGAGGATCATTTCTGCATTTAAATTTCATTCATAGATCAAAAATTGAAGCCATTAAATTCCGCCAAAGGATTTGAGTGCGCGTACACCATTGACAACGCAGTTATGTTGCGGACACGATATATCGTCTTGAAAATAACGTCCTTGAGTCTTACTTAGGATAGCAACTTCCTAACCAAAGTTGAAATAAGCTTATAGACAATCCCACTTGCTATTACGTTGCTACTTTAATTCTCGGTCATGATGTAAGTAAAAGGAGAACGTAATAACTAATCCATATGTTTCTCTGCTTCAGTTTCCACGAAAGCTACGAATCAAGCACAGTACATTCAGGATGGATATTTGGAAATTGACACCACTAACGCAAGGTGGATGCACAAGTTGGCAACAATGAACGGTTCCATGGCATATTCGTACTATGGCGAAATCAAACCATGGGATTCAAACTCTGGTCATCAATATAATGTTTCCATATTCGAGTTCCAGACACCGATTCTGATCAATGGCTCTACGAAGGTTAGCGTGTTCGGGTTACACTCATTTCTGGTGAAAAGCAAGGAGGGCATCTACATAGGAGTGGACATAAATTTGAAAGAGTCCATAGCAACTTTGACTAAACGAGTCGGTGGATACTGCGTCACAAGCAGGAACAGAACAGGTAACTTCTTTCTTTTCATGTTCCTGTTGGAAAAGTGATGCCATTAACTTGTCGACTCAAAAAAAGAAAAAAGTTAACGATCCTTGTGCATGAAGCTAGGTTTTCAGGGGTCCTGGAAAACTGGAAAGTCGAACTTTATACTTGAATGATCCACGACGTGAAAGTTCCAGAAAAGGAATAGTGGTCCTTGAAAGTACTGGAAGTTTTGGAATCTGGTGTTCATGTATAATTAGATTTAATTTACAAGTATACTTTACATGTATATGCGGCTATTACATCGGCGACAAATCACTAGATTTTCATTACTGTCATGACTCATCAAGTTGATATTGTAAGAAGAAATCTAATCACTCCTGAGAGTAGAGGGGTTAATATGAATCTTTGGAGTCCTTTCTTTTCCGAAAAAGCCCGAGTAAGAACTCTGACAGGTGCATAGGAAGCCATCCCTGTCCTTTTTCATGCCTAATCAGTGCTCCTCTCCCTTTTCGCTACTTGTCAGACAAGCGCATTTGACCTTTTTCTTGGTAGCCTTTTTTTTTCAAACTTATCTATCTCCACCTGCTCGTCAACTTTCGGATCCTTTTATTGTTTTAGCTCAACAGGGTCGTCCGAAGTTTTTAAATCTCCTTATGAGAAAATTTATTATTATGTGATTGCTTTTATCCTGTTCTTACCATTTTTATATAATCAACTCCCAATGAACGTAAATATCACTTTTGTTTCGCCTTGAACAGATGGGAAAGGCCCTGGCCGAGGACAGCCTGGCAAGAACGCAGGCGCCGGGCATGGTGGAAAGGGTGGCTTGCTGTTTGAAGATAACAATATCATTTATGGTAAAACATATGGAATACAGCCTGAAATACTTCTTATTGGTGGAAGCACAGGTAATAGCTATATGATATTTCTTAATTGCATTTTCAGCCGCGATCATATAGTGATGCTGGGATTAGTAAGCACACCCAAGCAGTTCAATGGTGCTAAAAATGAACGGCGGAGAGCAATCACGCTAGCCAAGAATTTTCTGTTCTTGTTGTGATTGTTTTTTTAATACCAGTTTGCTTCTTAGACGTTGACAGTTAGTTACTCAATCTTTCAGTCATTCAGTTTGCCTCCTGGTCATTATATTGGGTCAGCAGTGGTTTTAATCAGGGAGACTATTAATGTAGTCAGTTAGTGTCTACGTCAGTGGCAAGTTCGTCATGTCAGCTAGTCGTTTATAGAATTGTTGAGGTGGTTGATGACTCTTTTCATAATGCACTTTGTTATTTTATTTCGTCCGTCTGATTGTTTTTTCTTTAATCCATTGATTCAGTACTAACCTTTAAATAAATCACTTAATCGGCTGCCTGGTCAATTGCAATCATTCAGCCTAGAAGGTCAGCCTGAATGTCAGACAGTTAGCTGATTGTTTGTGGGGTCTTTCCTGTTGTCTAGTGAGCATGCGTTTCAGAGATCGCGGCTTATTTTGCTAACTCAAACTTTGTTAACTACAGGAACGTCGAATTGCTCGTCAAATAATTGTAAGTGACCATCACAGACAAACACTTGTATCGCGTAGACAAACTACTGCTCAATTCGTCCTTCCAATGCATACACAAACACACACACACTCCAACGGAAAAAAAAACATCCAGAGATGGGGTATAGTGGAATTCCTATGGGAATTCAATGAAGTTAACTTTGCAAGTTTCATTTCAATGCGATATATTTCGTAAGTGCGGATGGGAAAGGAGAGGATAGGTCGTCATGCAACAAAGGCTTTATATCCCATTTGAGCTAACCTTGGTGTGCAGAAAAAGAAGCGACTTGTAGTTGTGTATTCAGAGGGTGTTCATCGAAATTGACCGAAGTAATTTTGGCCAGTAAAAGCCTGAACGGAGATAAATATAACCCTTTAACTCCTATGAGTGACCAAGACAGAATTTCTCCTTACTCTATCTATACCATATCATGCAGATAAGAGATGAGAATAAAGAAAAATATAAACTTTGGGATTACTAATTGATCTGATACCAAATTATTCAAGCTAACATAATGAGAATCATTTGGCAGACAGTAAGGAGAATTGCTGATGAGATCTTGGAAGTTAAAGGTTAAGGTATCCAGAAATTTTCCTGCGCTTAATGTTTAACTTGAGTTTCAAACGTGTTTTTTCTGTCGCTCGGCGTTCCAAACACGTGCTTCATGACACATTAGGGACCCTTGTGTGTCATGAAGCATGGGAGCTTTCACAATTTGTGCCTCCCAGTTTAACTTCAACCATCTCTTACAGGTACCACTTCCGATCCCGGTCTGGTGATAGGTTGTGGTGGCGGAGCGATTGAAATTTCCTCAGAAAAGAACTTAACAATCGGTAAATATCTTATATGTAGAGGCAGACCACGATCGTATCTCGAAATTTAGTCCTGGAAGACCAATCCTCTGATTGGTTGAGAGATTGGGGCGAGTCAGTTTCTTGATCAAACAAAGCGAAGTGAAGCAAAACCAAAGCATTCACCATCTTGAATCGAAAAGTAACATGGGATGGATTACCTTTACCTATTAGTTAAGGATTCACCATAGAATTTTTATGTTGAACCGCTGTTGACGCAAACTAAGCCAAAATTGTTTATACCTTTCATTTCCCCTTTCGCCCCAGGCGAACCCGCATTGGCACATTCTCGCGCTCCTGAGACGATTTCTCTCTTAAAATTGGCAACTGCGCCAAAATTGTTCTCAGTCATGAACATTTCATATTATTTGTTGAGGGTTGCAGGTGGCTGCAGTGCTATAACGTGCATTGCAATTGTACATCGCTAAAAAAAAGTTTTAGATAATTAGGTAACGATTGTTTTCTTTGTGTTTCAGATGCTGTGATCAGCGCCAATGGTGAGACAATTACACTTGAATCAATGGCTAGTATGGGTGGAAGCAGCGGGGGAACAATTATTCTTAGATCTGAAAAGGTGAATGAATAAGTAGAAAATATAATTGACGCACAAAGACTAATTATGTTTGACTGAGACAAAAACAGAAATTGACGTGGGCGGGGTTTTATTTCAAGAATTTGCTTAATGAAATGGGCGTCTCCTCTTTGTTTGTCAAGGGTTGACGTGTATACAGGTATCATTCCATGAAAATTTATCAAAATTAAACATGATTTACCTCCGTAATTGTTATGAATTGTAATTCTTGATAATATTTGTTGATTCACATTGAAAAACAATTGACTCGGACCTGACAGAATTCATATTTTCCGTTTCTTTACCTCAAAGCATGTGATCCTCGGTGACAATGCGAGGCTAGAAGCCACGGGAGCAAATGCTCATGCAAAAGGTGGTGACAATTCTATCCGCCGTGGGGGAGGTGGAGGAGGGGTAATTGCAATCATCAGCAAAGGCAGACCAGTTGGAACTGAAATACTATCTCCGAATGAAAACACTGCGGGGGGAAATGGTTCCATTAGTGGAGATAACGGCCTAGTGGTTATCAACGGTATGTCATCAGTTTTAAGTTTTAACCGCCATTAATTACGTTCAATGGGTAGCCTCAGATTTCCATGTTCCATGCGTACGGCGAACGGCAAACGGCAAACGGCAAACGGCAAGGATTGATTTTTCACTTTCAACCTTTCAGCCGATTGTTCTGTAGATATAACTAATTGCAATTTTGGTGAATAGAATTTAAATTGCAGGAGTAAAGGACGTTAGATGTTCAATGGAAATATTAAAGCGCCGTTGTGATAAGTACAGTATGAATCATTAAATTCTTTTAATCCTTTACAGGCTTCAAGAAGTACGGATATCCAGCGAAAGGTAATTATATTCTCGTGGAAACTATAAATAAAGATATTGTACAAACGCTTTTTCTTTGTCCCACGCTCGTGACAAAACGAATAAACTTTTTCTTTACTTTGACGGCTGTTGGTAGAACGAGTGGTGTTGTGGAGCTGGAACCAAGAAATGTTTTCGGTTGTTTATTGCTTAGAACTGGATCCCCTAAGATGAAATTTTACTCACAGCACACTTTTATTCTTTTTCCCCCTCGGTCGCAAAGAAATTATGGGAACTTAATCGGCTTTTGAAACAACTTTCTTACGATGATGATTTGAAACTTTTTTTTAAGAACGAATGTATCATCGCTTCCCCTTTCCCTCCTACCCCCCTCTCCCTCCTTCCCGCTCCTCCCTTCTCCCCCTTCCCTCCCCTTTCCCCTGTCAGGGTCATAGTTCAAGAGCCTGGTCGGCTCAATCCCACCTATACCATACTTATGTGTTCCCTCCAGGCTTTAGTGTCCTCCTTCCTTCCTATGGGGGGATTGATCAGCATCTTTATTTTACGATGAAACAAATGAAGAAACACGAGCTCGTTCATTACAGTCTATCAGATTTTGCTAAGTTTTTCTCTTCTTTTTCGTCAGTTATTGAGGTCAACGAAAGCTACGAAGGATGTGTGAATGGTAGCAATATATCCAATCCCCAAACAGTGACTATGAAAGCCCATGAAGCTTCACCATCAAAATGCATCGAGATTTGCCGTGAAAGAAAATCCCAATGGGCTTACGTAAGGGAGAGAAGCTGCAAATGCTCGAACTCCAGCCAAACCTCGTCTAAGCTTATTGAAAAGTGTAATAAAAGATGTTGGTCAAATTCTTCACTTGTCTGTGGTGGCGATGGGGATGACGCCTTCAGTGCATACAAGACAGGTAAGTCAGTTATTTACCACCATATGTTCAGTATGTTTCCAGCAGGAAGAATGCATCCCACTGGATGTAATTCTTATAGAATCTCTATTAAGTTATTTCTATATCATCTCAGTTACGGAGGCTCCATGACAATCCAGATATAACCAGTCCAGTGTCGTGACATGCAAAATGGCCCGTTTTTGGCAGTAACCGTAAGATACTGTAGTGTCCTTTAAAGGAGACAATGGTCCCATAAGTAACTTGAAAATGTTTACGTTAGAAAAGGCCCCCAAGGGCAATCAAGGAGTAGTTGTCCATCAAGGGGGAGTTAGCATTGGCAAGTTTAAGAGAGCTACATGCATCTCATGTTCTCTCGATAGGTTTTATTTAGATGATTAGTTCCTCATACACCTGGGTGGAGTGGATTTGCCACATGAAAAAGTTCCCTCGATTTCGTATAGTTAAGGTATGACAATACCTGGATAAAAATAACTCCGGGTTACCAGCGAATTACCCCGTTTTCGAATTTTGTGATATTTTAATTAAGTAAGGTTTTCTCTTTTTTTTTGAAAATTGAAAATCACTTTGATGCACGCGACCATGAAGAAAACGAGAGAAACGATATCGGAAACGTCCTTCGTGCAAAAAAATCTGGTTTCAAAGATACTTTAACCGCATTGAGACTTTCCTTATTTTTAACTACTACTGAAGGATTAAGCTTTATAAACAAATAGATTTGACTTGTCCTTGTTGGTCCAAGAATGTAGATGACACTTACGTCATCACGTGAACAAGAACTAATTTCCATAGAACATAGACCTCAGGGTAGGGTGTATCCCTGCTCACTCCTTGCTTCTAACTAATACAGAAGACAGCCTTCTCTTTATTTTTCACTTGGCAAGAAAGGTTATGAGGGGATCATGTCAAAAAAGGCCGGAAAACAACACTGTTTGTAGTTTGGATAACAGTTTTTTCTCAGCGGTTTTTGACTCATTGTGTATTTGCACACAACATACCAGCAATTGCAGTAGAGATTAAAACTACAGAGAAAGAGAATAATTGATTAAACCCATATGATTCAAAGTACGTGCTTATTCAATTATCCAGTTAAAAGGTTGAGATGGTGAATCTCCGAGGGTTATATTTGAGTAAGACATTGTTGAGAACCAATTGCAGCTGTTTTTTGAACTAATCAAAATTCATATTTCTTGTTCACTTGTCTCTGTCGCGAATCCCGTGGAGTTTGGTGTTCTGTTACTGTTGCAGGTGAAGGAGCGGGATCATTTTTTCATAAATCTGAATCTGCAAAAAAATCATAGTCGTGTATTTAGCTTTAGTTATAGGATTAAAAAACGAAGCATACTGTACAATCATGAATTAAGGGAGAGCTGAACCTCTAAAGTCTAAAACAGTTATATGCTGTTTTAATTATCCAATTTTTGGCAATGATTGACGTTTCTGTCATATGACACTGGACTAAGCAAAATTGGTAGATCTTTCAGATGTAATAGCTTCTATGACCTCTTCTGATTCTATGATATCATGGAAACTTAAGTTTTACAGAATCTATTTTTGATGGGAATTGCGGATTTTGTGCAACTAAATATGAGTCAATCATTGTGCCCTACGATCTTGCGAACTGACAATTTTTCTTCGTGAATAATTAACTACTCATATCTATTGTGGATCGCAAATGAAGGTTTGAATATTTAATTTAGAGACAAATCTCAAGATTTACATAAGCAAGCCTAAAAGCTCTTTTACTGATGGATATGAAGATCGCTCTTCAAAATAAACAGTTTTGCAAAAACAAAGTTCAATTTGAAAGGTAGAATTCATCAGAATCAAGCCATCGCGATTCACCGCGAAGATTTTTGGATATAGGAGCGAAGATTTCCACTTTTCAGTATCAAAAACATGGACAATGTTTGTTTGTTAGTGGGCGCATTGCACACATCAGGAAAGGGAACCGACATTGTTCGAGGAGCTCCTATCGATTTCATTATCTTCCGGATACTAAGTTTGAATGAAAATTGAATCTTGCATTCATATAGCCCGGCGTCAACAAAGAAGCGGGTCATTTCTCGGCACACTTTCAAAAGAAAAAAACGCCGAATTCAAAACTGATCCTTGTGCAATTTTGACAACAGCAAGCGGATTTTGAGGAAGAACTTCACTGCCTGGTGGCAATGGGCGCTGGACAGTGCGCAAACCTCAACAAAGTTGTACCTCAAGAAGGGGAATTGCTCGGCCCATATCTAGCAAACTGCGTTATTATGTCATTTCTAAGTATAACATCTGTAATAGGGAACGTATTAATCTTGGTTGCGATTTGCAGAGCTCCTGAATTTCTTCGCCAGCCATCGTATTTTCTCTTGCTCAATTTGGCTGTTGCCGATTTGTGCGTTGGGTTTATAGCCGAACCTCTCTACGTGATATACAAAATATCTTATTTATTCAATCCATTCTCTGTAATGTCCTGTTACGCAGGGTATGTGTTTAACCTAGTGTCTTTTCTTTTGACGTCGCTATCGCTTTGGACCGCAGCAGCAATTTCTCTGGATCGATTGATGGCCCTTCATCTTCATTTGAAGTATACCTCCATCGTAACCAAGCAGAGAGTTGTTATATTGATTGCTGCTTTGCTTGTATTAAGCGTGGCTTTCGCTTCCATGTTTGAATGGGCCATCGACGAGCAGAACACTGTGTTGGCGTGTGCGAACTCTCTCGCTTTGCTCATCGCATTGTTGTCTTACGTAAGGATATTCCAAATCTTGCGCTACCATCAACGACAAATTTCTAGTCATCAGGTTGGCGAAATATCATCGTTCACCGACGGCGGGGAAATGGACTCAACGGGTACCTCCTTTCAGGGAGAGGAGATAAGGGAAAAACGAAGAGAAGCTACTAAAGACGTCAATGGAAATAGACGAAATGAAATGCGAAGCGATAACGTACAAATGGTGGACAAAGGTGAAGATCAAAGACCTGACGGTGAAAATCATATCAAGGACAACAAGAAATTGCAGACGAAGGTATCATTTGTCTCCCGTGAGAATCATGGATGCTTTTCTTCAAAAGAAGACTTGGAAAGTCTACGAGTAGGTGGTGAAATGAACATTGCTGAAGATAAAGGTCATGAAGAAGACGAGATGCATCTAAAATTCGGGAGCACAAGTGCTCAACTTGGGAAAAGGACACTAGACCATTCACGAGAAGAGGAAATAGATGTACAGAAAATCGAAGAAGGAAAAGAAAAATTAATAAGAGTAGAAGTGAATGAAGCGAGAAGGAATGGAAAAAGAAGCAGTGAAATGAACCACGAATGCCCAATCGAGATGAAGGCTTTGAGTACTTTGCGAGCAGATCGAAATAATACTCGAAACAATCAAATGAAAGGAGAAAATTCCGTTGTCCCAGAGAAGCATAACGAAAGCAGGTCATCAGAGGGCGAAATTAATTTTAAGGGATTTGAAAAAAATCAGAATCGTTTGTTAATAACTGAAGCACCTTCCATTAGACAGATAACACAAGAAAGATCACTTGAAATGACTGCCAAATGTGTCACCATTGTTGGCCATGGTAGGACCAATACAGACGTCAACGAGCAAAGTGATATTAATATTGTCAATAGAAGGAAAAAGTTTCAAATGAGAAAGTTCAAGAAGTCGTTTTATAACATGTTTGTTATATGGTTTCTCATGTTACTGTGCTATTTACCCCTTATATGCACATCTATATCGTTCCTATTGATTGGGCGTAGTTATTCTATGCACCTCGCGTTCAATTTCACAACATCTGTAATGTTCATGAATTCTAGCATAAATCCTATCTTGTTTTGTTGGAGAATACGTGAGTTTCGCGCAGCTGTAAAGAAAACACTTAAAGAAGTGTTTGGATTTCGGAGCAATCGCGGTACCTGATGTAACACTGATATGAGAAGATATCAATTATGTAAACCTTGAATACATTAGATGTGTTTAGTTCATCTTCAAAGCTTGAAAAAGAACCACTAGGGGTTTGTGGTGTGTGGGTGAGAACTTCACGCTCTCAACAGCTAACCAAATACCATAATTTATATTTTCCAAAAACATATCTGCAATTTGAAAGCTCTTTTCTTCTATGAGAGTAATACGTTACAACGCTTTGATGTGATAATTGTAATGAAATGTCAGTGTGGCGGAAAATAGTAAAGAGTTATGTATAAATTCTTATAACTTGTCTGAGACATTGGAAGCTATCTTTCTTGGCTTTGCTTACAAAGTGTCGTGTCTTTCTGTCATCCCCACAAAAGCTGTGTTTGTCATCACTCTGAGAAGCGTTAGTCAAGCTTCATTCATGTACGTCAGTGCAATTTACATATCAAAACCTCCGCTCTGTGCAATTGACTTGACTGGTAGTTTCGTACATATTTACGTTGTTTAGTAGCGTACAATCTGCTAAAATCTGGTAATCTCATGGGAATAATACGCGGCTCAATTTTTTTAAGGATAGAAAGGTTCTGAATTAAAATTAGAGAGACATCACACAGATTTATACTTTTTAATCCGGATTCGCGTCGTTTTAGTTTAACAAGCTCTATGATTGGCTCTTGAAAATTGCGTTGTCGTCTCAACCAATAGAATACTGCATGCGAGCTAAAAGTAACTTCATAATGAGGTGCTTTTCCACGCTTGGAGTGCGCTCGTTACATTTGTTTGCCTTATGCTGTGATCACCTTGTGATGTTGATATTGGTCACTTCAATTGGTTTTTGTAGTTTTTATTAAAAACACAGGAAATAACGCCCTAGGACTTGTAGGAAGTGATGTTTATGAAAAGAAGCACAAGCGAGTATAGAATTTTAGAAGACCTAATTTATTTTTGGAAATATTAACTGTTTCTTTCCAGACTCTAATTGCAAAATATTATTTTCACTCAAGACCTGAAAGTAACATTTCTCAATAAATATAACTTAAACTAATAAAAGCGTTCTTTGAAACTGATACCGCAGATAATTATTTCGCCCCGTTACATAGCAATTATCTTGTTTTGTAAGGCATAGTCATCTAAATTGAAACATGAAAGTGAAACTACATAAACCAAATAAATCTAACTTGAAACATTTTCAGGATTAAATTTGTTTTCGATTCTCTGCTTGAACGACTGAGGTGGTGGGCTGATCCAAAATGATTGCGTTTGTTTGTTGGCGAGAAGGACTTCGAAGCCGGAGATAATACAAAAAAAAGAAGAGAAAAAGACTTAAAAAGGCATAATTATCTGAATAAAAACAATTTTTGAGTAATTCTGAGCTGAGCATCGAAAGCAATTCAGGATTGCGTTGGTTTTTCCTTATCAATCTCGGCTGTGGGCCTTGAAAACGCATGTAACCCTCACAATTGATCAAGTATAGAACTGACCATAACAAAATAAAAGTAGATCACCATTTTATTTGCGCTTCAGGCTCTTTGCTTCTTTTGCTTTGAGACATTGTTGGTTTATTGTTGGTTTTTTCTTTGCTCTACGATGGCCGTTGCGATTACTTTGGTTTTGATTAAAAGCCACTCGATCGAAAAAATCATGGTTATAATTACAACTTTTTAAAATCGTTATTCGGAAACTTTGAAATTTAATTTCAAAGCTTTGCCAGAGCGTAATGGTTATAATTAAAATTCTTATTCTGTCGAAACATCGGAATCTTGAAAAGTAAAAGTCAGAGAAAAATAATAAATGAAAAACATAAATAGAGAATAATACATGGCGCGCGTAGATATGGAATTTCTCTTCTAGTGTTTAACTCGATAGCTCACGAGTTAGATGTCGAGTTGAACACGAGAAGAGAAATTTTATATCAACGTGCAACCATGTATTACTTTGTTTATCATATAAACACAACAGCCCTTTACTGACAAGAAAAGCCGACTTTATTAATGGGTGAAAATAAAGTAATGGACAATTTCCGAATAAAAATCGTCATGATTACAAAAACAACAATGGCGAATTTTCAATTTGCAAAATTCCCATTTATTGACTTTGTCCTTACTGACAGAAGAAATCTTTGACGGCCAAATCGGCCTGTGGCTAATCTTCCAGCTGTCGATTTTCGTTCTCAGCCGCGAGAAATGCCATTACCAAAGCCACTGAATACGTAATTTTCAGTTTTTCTTTTCGTATATTGGTTTTCTTCCCCTTGTAGGAAAGTTTGGACGTCACTGTCTGCAAAAAATACAGATTTTTCAGTGTTTTAGCAGCTGTAATCTGAGAAAAATCCAACAAACTACCTTGGATTGAAAATGGTGAAGGCTTTGCCGTTCATTCATCAACCTGACCGAATGGCGCGAAAGGCGAGTGACGTGTCAGCAGCTGATTGGCGATATCAGACACACGTGTAAAAATGTCGCATTTTTTCACGTGTATTGTTATGATAAAACACTACAATCATACAGAAATCTGTTCGCCAGAATTTTTTCTTGTTAACAGAGTAAGTCTGCTTATCTGTTTTCAGGCTACGTCGCTGAATTTTCATATACTATAATATCCACTGCAACTTTAGCAGTTTTTACCACATCATCCGTGGTCAATGCCATTTCACCAAGTAAGACTGTAGAGGTAACGACGACGCCAACGACGCCAACTCATGCCACCACATCATTAGTGGTCAATGCCATTTCACCAAGTAAGACTATAGAGGTAACAACGACGCCAACGACGCCAACGACGCCAACTCATGCCACCGCATCATTAGTGGTCAATGCCATTTCACCAAGTAAGACTGTAGAGGTAACAACGACGCCAACGACGCCAACGACGCCAACGACGCCAACTCATGCCACCGATGAAGCGAAGACTACCGAAGAAACGAAGCCTACCGATGAACCTACGACCACGCCCCCAGACGAACCATCGGGAAAGGTGAATTTATTCTAAAAGAGGCATGTTGACAATTGTTGGAAGACTAGGGGTTTAAAATGTTGCCATACACAAAGTAAAATTGTTTATGGTTTAACTGGCTTCCACTGTCCACAGTACACATGACACGAATGATATCCCTCAGGAATCAAGGGCGGTGGGGAAAGGTCTCTCCTCCATTCGTAAATAGTGTAAAATCTTACAGTGACATGCATATTGAATACATTCTTCGTTCTGCATAGGTATTTCGTCTTGTATGATTATCAGCTTAGCCTGACATACTTACATATCGAAAACAAGCTCATTTGAAAGACAAAATTGTCTTTTTTTCTTTAATTTCTAGTTCAAAGACATTGCAAATGTCACAATCACAGACGAAAACGTCGTTGAAGTTGTAAACCAGCTCAAAAACCTCACCAAAGAGGGAGACATGAATGGTGGAGACACGAAAGTCGCCCTGGGAATCCTGCAGAAAATCACCAGCAACAACAGTTTACTTCCCGCAAACAAATCTGGGCGGCAGAAAATAGGACAGGTCAGGGGGAAGATTAGCGATGATAATGACGATGATACTTATCATGACCATAATAAGGGTGATGGTAATGACAATGATGTCACCGATGACGACTACGATGGTAGTGATGATGACAATGTTAATGATGACGCCAAAAGCGATGAGAAAAACCATAATAACCAGGAAACGCGATTACCCGAAAAATTTTAAAGTCAATTTTGTGGGAGTTTCTGTCATAGTAAATTCTGAGTTCGAGAAGAATAATAGTCTTGATATACATAGATAGGCAACTTCTTAGATTCTCTTTCATTTCCTTCGGTTACCCTACACGAAGAAATCACATCTAACGATGGCCATTTTGAAAGTTAGCTGTTCACCATTGCAATGCTCTTGTGCATGGTAATTATAGCAAGAAATCATGAAATTCAGACCAATCACAGAAACTGAATCACTATAATAACCTGGCTCTGTCGTTAAAAGCACGATCAGCACTAGTGTACCTCAAAGAGCTCTATAACGCACAACTTTTGTGTTAGAGCGGCAGGTTTCAAACAACACAATATGTATACGCCAACAGCCTAATTTAATTGGGCAGTTTATCTGTTTTTTTTCTTTCAGAGCATTCTTCATGTTGCCAGCTCACTCTTGTCAGGGGAAAACGCTGCCAATTGGGGCGTACCAACAGATAACGAAAATAAGACGGACAAGGTTGGTACGATTAGCAAAACGTAGAGTTTCTATGAATGTTATAATTATGTTAACGAATCTAAAATAGATGACACTAACATTTCCCCCTAAAGAACTTGAATTTGATTACGCTATAGCTAATTTTTGTTTTTCTTTAGGTGACTTCTCAGACCCAAGTTTTGGAAGTTATAGAAAAAATTGGTCTAAAAATTGGAGAAAAACTTGGTGATGACGACAGCTTGGTCGTAGAAAGTGAAAATATAGGTACGTAGCAAGATGTTTGAGCTTAGTCTCCAATTTAAAGTTGGAGTCATGAGAAGTTTCTATGTCACCCGCACACGAGGCGAGTAGCTACCCTGTTACCGAGACTCATCCCGGTGTCCGTTGTGTGAGTTATATGAAAAGAAGATAACCTCCCTTGGGTGAGATTTTAGGTTGCCTCAACCAACCAAGAGCTCAGGTTTTCTTGAAAGATCGTTGATACCCATTTACACTCCTGAGTGGAAAGAAGCGCTGCGAGAGTCAAGTGTCTTCTCCAAACAACACAACTCGATTGCAAACCAAACAGCTAATGCCCCTCGAAGCTGGTGCAATGTAAGATGTACTTTTGCTGAGTAAGATGTACTTATGCGTTTAGTTGCCATTTTTACGTTCTCGATACAGCTATGGGTGTAGAGACCAAGGTACCTGACGAGTCTTCCCCTGGGGTGAAATATCCAAGATATGGTGAACTCGGCCCAGAATGGAGAGGACAGGATCGTGTATTTGTTAATAGAGAACTCTTCGACAAGATGGCGGCAGGTCGGTCCGGTTTTGATGTGCGCTCTTTTTATTCTTATTCGTCACCTCATGATAATGTCAGTGATAAACTGCTGCCATTGATCTGCAGAAATTTTACTTTTGTCATCTTTCCGGAAAATTATCTGTAATTTTGAAAAACGTCACCTGATGATAATGTCAATGATGAGCTGGGGCTATTCATCTGTAGACAGTTTGCAGTTTGCTACCTTTTTATGTCAGTAGTTTTGTCAATTTGCACAAGGTAACAAGTGGCTTACAAGTATTTCTTCTGATTCTATTACATTCTCTTCTCTACAAAGTTTGGTATGTTAGATCGCCATTTTGAAAACAATTTTGAAGAAAGATCACGTTACTTGTGTAAGCATTTTTCGTAGATAACAGCTCAAGAACAACAGTTGTCTATGCCATTTACAATCAAGTCAGCGAGCATTTCCCTACGAATACAATCAGCAAAAAGAGGTACGGTGTCTTTGTTTTACTTTCTTTATTTATTTTCTTAGTTTATCACACACAAAGATATATTGACAATTTTTCGCTGTTCATTAGGTCCTTAGAAGCAGTTCCCAAAGCATGAATCATACATGATCATATCTTAAGCTGATTTATACACGCATTTTGATTGGTTCCTTCGTATGGTCTATTGGAGGACAGACCAGAAACGACGTCACCATTGACAGTCTTAAAGTTTTTAGTCACATAAGACAAATAAATTCCATATTGCCGTGTGCCAGTACAGTCATAGATCACAGAGGAAGTCAAGATGTGGTGAGAACATCACTGCCTCACTCAGCGGCTATTTTTTAAATTACATTTTGACGTCATCTACAATCTACAACTGATCAGAGTACGACAACGAGGAATTTATTTGCTTAACATATTTTGGATTCATTTTCTCTGTTCACTAAGGCCTGTTTTTGACTAAAATCTAGAAAAGACTAGTTTCCGAGTTTGACTTCAAGAGAACACTCATTGTTTCATTTTCTTATCAGCTCTGAGAGTCTAATTGTGAACTCCCGAATTCTGGCTCTAAAGTTTAACAAGCCACTTCCTCCTCCATTGAAGACACCTATTAAACTATGGTTTGATAAATTGGAGAAGGTTTGTTTCCGTTTTATTTCCACTGATAGCAAGAATAACAATTTATAAATTGATTAAACTTGAAAACGATGTCTACAATTTCTCACCCTTAACTGAAGGGGATTAGTAGAATACTAACTCACCTAATTTTTCCCCATTGAATACCAAAATATATTAAATTACTGAAAAAATAACCCCAAATACCTGCATGTTTTCAACCCTATGTCTGTACACCAGGGACCAAAAAAAAACGAAAAACGAGATGATCTGAACCCGCTCTGAGAGAAAATACCAAAACACCTGAGTGAAAAAGAACCTGAATTCTCCATTTTCAAAAATCACAGATCGGGCCTGTTGACTTAACCATCGTCCTTTCAATTTCAGGGCGAAAATGTTACGAAGCCTTCCTGTTCGTTTGTGGACTTCGAGAGGTAAAGAAAATAAACCACTGACCATTGATCTGTAGACAGTTTACAGTTTGCTACCTTTTTATAGCTCTGAGATCTAATATATTCATTCTCTTGCTGTGGAATTTTGATTCAGAAAATTTGAATATCTGTGACGTTTTTTTATACATAGTGCAAGGGGCTCGTGGTCACACAAGGGATGTCGCGTGGTCAAGGAAAAGGACCAGAATGTCGAGTGCGCCTGCGATCATCTCACAAACTTTGCAATTTTGATGCAAGTGAAGGAATTTGAAGTATGTTCTCTGTTTTCTGTATGCAACGATTCACTGGAGAACACATCAACAGCTTTTATATTTCCTAACAATTGCTTGTTGTTGTCTTTAAGATTGAACCGGATCACTATAAAGCTTTGACAGTCATTACGTACGTAGGCTGTGGAGTTTCATTATTTGGACTCGCGCTCACTTTGGCGACTTTCTTATCACTTGAGTAAGACATTTCTCCTCGTTAATGTTATTATTGATGTTGTTGTTAATTTTTTCTTTGCTTAACCTCTCCAACCGTTTTTATAATATTTTGTTCCCCCTGAAGTAGTGAATTAAAAGCGTGGCGTAGATGAATCCAAGACTTTCGTGAGGCATCATCGTTGACTTTGGTTTCCTGAAAATAACTTCATCATTTCATTGAATTTTTTTTGCCCTCATTTTCAATAAGTTGAAGGCTCGTGTTATTTCAGGACGTTAGCTTCAGAACGGACCTCAATTCACAAGAATCTTGTGGTAGCCATTGGACTCGCGCAGATAATTTTCCTGGCCGGCATAGATGCCACATACAACCCCGTGAGTGTCAGTAACTATTAATGACTTTCAGTTAAGAACCAGTTACTTGTAGCTAAGTAATGATAGTGTTAGGTCTAAGATTAGCAAATCATTTTAACCAACTTTAGAAGATTACAGTCCCCGAACTCCCTTATCTGTGCCCCATACGAGCGATCAACTCAGAGTGAACGCATGATCCCCTCATTTGAAATACAACGGAATTGACAACAATCATTTCTCCTTCCGCAGATTGCGTGTAAAGCCGTTGCTTTGTTCTTGCACTATTTATACACAGCGGCTTTCACGTGGATGTTATGCGAAGGAGTTCATCTGTACAGCAAAGTGGTAGAAGTATTCAGCGAAGGATCTAAGATGAAATACTACTACGCCTTAGGCTGGGGTAGGTCGAATTTTCTCTTGGCTGGTCGAGCACTGATACAAAGCGAACATGACTTAATTAAAAATGAAAAAATTAAAACTGTGCCATTTTTTCTAGGTCTACCGTTGACCATTGTGTTCATTTCCGCCTGTTCTCGCTGGGGAGGATATGGGAACGAGCGAGCGTACGTATGGGTATTAGTTAATCTACGGCCTAGATTGTACCTCTTGACAGATTGATTCTAAGTGTTACCATTTGCAATGCGTACTGATCCCATCCATTCTCGACCGCCCTTGCTCTCTACTGACATATTCTCCCCCAGACAGTGATCCTACATCTCGCCAATCTAAGATTTTCTGGTTTCCTATACTTTTGAGGCAATTTTTTTTAGTTCGCAGGGAAAGCTACTCAAACTGTCGAGGCTTATCTCGTCTTTAAGCGATGCTCTCATAAAATGACAGTTCCTACACAACTTTGCTTTACCGTTTGCTTTTACTTTTCAGCTGCTGGATTTCAATCACTGACGGGCTTATTTGGGCTTTTGTTGCTCCAGTTCTTATCGTGATGACGGTAGGTGCTTCAGTCTCTCAATTTTATCTTCATAAGTTATTCCAACATGAATTTGCGTCCTTTGCTAAATTCCTTGGTGCACTGGAACTACGTATTCTTGCAGAAGGCGAGCGAGTTTGTGAAAGAGAGTGAGAGAGAGGTCTTTCGCAATCTTTGCCCCCACCAACCACCTCCATTTCTTTTTAGTAAGACTAGTGCAAAATTTCGCAAGGAAATTTTCGTAATTTGACTTACAAAGTAAAAATCATGATATGAAAGCAATATAAAAGTTTATGACCTGGACACAAATGTTAAACCAAATGTCGCTACTGAACACTTAACACTTGAGCTTTTGTTTTTCTGCTTACTCGGGGTACGACATTTGAATCCTACATCGATTTCTGAGGACATCATTATCTACATCATGCTCAAACACACCATTTTGGTTTTGCAGATCAACTTTGTGGTTATGATAATGGTAATCAGAGTGATCATCGCATCTGTAACGTCACTACAGAATCCTGGCAATGCTTCCCAAGTCAGGTACGTACATCTTATTACGTCTTCGTGGTTTTTTGTTTTAAATTACATCATCTAACTACGTCCATTTGCTTCCTTGACTTTCTCTCCTACTCTGTCGTTGTTTGCGCAGTTTAACTTTGTAGCTCGCGTGTTCACGCTCACTTTCCTTGTCATGCCACGATGCACCAATGATTTGAACGTTCGCCTGATCACTCGTTAGCTTGTTCGCCCCTTCGCTCATTGGCTATTTGGCTCGTTCGCTCGTTCGCACGTGCGCTCGTTTGCTTATGCGCCTGCTTGCTCGTTCGCTCCTTCGCTCCTTCGCTCCTTCGCTCCTTCGCTCCTTCGCTCTTTCGCTCGTTGTTTCATTATTTTGATCCTGTTCGTTTTAATATCTTTTTCTGTATGCTGGTGTATCCTTTTAATTTGATCGTCAATCCCCATGATTTATATAGGTCTTCTTCACGCATGGTATGCAATTTTTCCTGTAGGGCTGGCGTCAAAGGCATGATTGTTTTACTGCCTCTGCTCGGTCTGACGTGGGTCTTTGGACTTTTGGCCATCAATAAGGACACTATTGCTTTCCAGTATTTATTTGCCATCCTCAATTCACTTCAGGTCAGAAATCTTCGTCCTAGCAATACAGGTTCAAGCTTAGGGAAAGAGTCTTCTTTTTTAGTTCCATTTCGAGGAGAATCCGCCTCAAATTGCTTTTAGACTCAAAGTTATTTCTTCCTCTGGGAAAAATTTTACAATAAAATGTACTTCACGTTCACGTTTTGGGTTCATGTTTCGGTGGGAACTTATAATGCTGTCTGTGGTTTCAGGGTTGTTTATTCTCATGCTCGATCCTGCCAGGATATGGGAAAACGAGATTTCTCTAAAATAGCTCCGGATAAATTTTTTTGGGATTAAGTCCTAAATGGGAATCCATTCTCTTAGCTTGACCATCTCCTATCCTCAGCTGACGCTCAGCGATCCCCTGATAGTAGCAAATGTAATGTCGATGAAAAATCGAATTGCCAATGATGACGAGATATACAATTTAAACTTCGCTCTCTTCCCAGATACTACATTAATGTCCCAAGGTTTCCATACCCTTGAACCTGAGTGTCACGCACTCCAATAGAGAGCTGTTTCATATCTTCTCCTGTAGGTTTCTTGATAGTACTAAACGTCTCGACATATCACGGAAATTCATGTACTTTTGTGGTTTATGACTACATCCCTAAAAGTAAATCGGTGAATATTTACTGATTTTTTTTTTTTTACTACAGGGACTTTTCATTTTTGCTTTCCACTGTATCGGAAACACCGAGGTATGAAATTACATGTCCTGCTTAATTTTCACCTTGTCTTAAATTAATCATTTGAGACACTGCTAGCGTAAATACTCAGTTTTATGGCCAGTCAGTAACCCGTGATTTTACTCTTAGGTACGAGTTGCATACAAAAGACTCCATGAGAAAAGGACTTTGGCAAAGAGCCTTCCTGAACACTCTCTGTCTTCAACACACCACATGTCAAGCCGGGTAAGAAGTCAAACGCATACACAAAACAAACATATAGCGTAAGCTGGAGAAACGCAACTCAATTGTAAACGGCAATCCCCGCCAGTCTAATCAGCAAAGAAAATGGCGAGGGATGTTGACTTTGATCGATACTGGCACAATCAGCGATTTTTTTCAGCCGATCGCGACGACTTGGCTCTTCGACTATATTTCCTCGTTTCTCTTTGACGTTATGCTAAAATCACCTAATCTGACTACAATGACGACTTTGCAGGCGTTTTGTTTCGAAGCAGTGATGATAATCTCAAAAACGAGAACAGCTGTTTAATGCTGGTAATATACGTACCATTCACAGCGATCGGTGAAAATCGCCAAGCATTCGGAGGGAAAACTGCTTATTTGCACCCGCGCGGTGTCATTTACCGCTCAAACGAGAGTGATAATTGTTACATGTCTCTTCTGTGCATTCTGTTTCACAGCCGGCAAAGAAACGAATGGACTCTCACGAGACGAACTTCACCGGGGATGATGACATCATTGTTACTAAGACTATCCGGAGCGTGTCGGGTAAAGACAATACTCGATCTTAATTACACAAAATATGTTCTTCTTACCACGTTGGAATCAGGATCGAAATATACCGTGTACTCAGGTTAACATGGGGTTCTCCTGTTGTGTTCTTGTACAAAGTACTTTACCGTTGTACTTTACCGTTGCAAAACTAAGGCATGACCTACATGCGATGCAATGCCATGCATCCAGGGAGAGTAGTAATACACCTAATCGCTTTCTATTACAGAAAATGAGATAAACTGCGGCAACTACTTTTAAAACTAAATGTTCATTTTTTCACGCAGAAGATGAACAATTTTTTTACCTCCATTCTTGTTTTTTTTTTTTCCTTTTTTCCAGATGTGAAGATTTCTGGGGACAACTTGGCCTTGCAAACGGTTAAGTATAAACAAACTTAAGAACTCAATTTTAGCTCAGCCACTGTTGTGATTTTTAAAACATAAAACATAACAGATAAGGATGATAACCGTTGCTGACGGAAAAGCTGGGCGTTATCTTCACGTGTCATAATATTGCACAATTCTTATTAAAAATATAAAATCTAAATTATGAGTCACTACATTAACTCTCGAAAAATGTGGTTTTTACTAATAATACCATGTGGATTTATTATATTCTCACTCATGGAAAATATTTATAATTTTCAACAATTTTATAAGTTTGTATTTTTTCTAAATCTTATTGAACTAAATCTTGCTGTGGATCGCTCCTTTTTTATTTCTAATAATGCACTTTTTACACCATTGTTGTATTGTTTAAGTAATTAATTATGAAATTGACATTTTAAGCATTTATAAACGCTCACAAATACAAAAGTAAGTTGTAAAATTGTTCTTGTAGATCACGCAATAGAGCCGTTTTCGATTGAGTGTTGTATCATTACAGCAAATCAAAACAAAGGACAAAATCACAAGTAGCCAATGAGAATTCAAAGTAAAGCAACATTGGTTTTAGCTTTAAATCTGATTGGTTGAGAAAGCGGTGCAAGTTTTGGACCAATCATAAGGCGACAAAAGCAACACCAAGTTAGATTGGATTACTTTCAACACTCAATTACAAATTGCTCTATCATCATTCAAATCTTGTTATGTTGTAACATATCATGTTCAATATTTAGTTCGGTGACACTGATTCTGGCCGCTGGTCGTTAAACTGTCCGTCTCCTGACCCGTGAGTAAATGGATAATTTTAAACAATTTTTGAACAGAAAGCTCTCGCATATAATTAGAATTTCAAAAACAGGTTAACTTTTGCTTGTTCATCGCACGAGTACTTGCGCTAGGTCTAGAACGCGTTGGGTTCTGGGATTGCCCATAAATTGTATAAAAGTACGATCTCTGTCACCATTTCGGCACCTTGAGGAGTTTTTGCTTTAGAAGTTCGAGGAACTCATTTCAGCCCTCGCGAGCAAAATATTTTCAAAATAGCTAAATTTACTTGTTTCTTTGAAACTCTATTATATGTGAGGGCTTCTTACATGATTTTAAAACAGGAACGTGGTAATTAATATCTATAATTCAATCATTTCTGTAAAATTGTGAGCTCGACACCTTCTGATATAAAAAAAGTTACCCCTGAAACGCAGTTCTAAATTATTGCGTAAAAACGAAAATGTTTCCTAATATTTCAATTCAGTCCTTAAGTCTCTTTAAAATTTAAAAAAAACTGTGAAATTGACAGCACCTTCGGAAAGTAAGCCATACACAAGATAGCAATAACCTGAAAAAATAAATAATTGAAAAAAATCAAAACTTGAAACAGAATCCCCGACTGGATTAAAATGTACAAAATATCGTTCTAAGCGATAAACGAAAACTGATTGCCGCCACCATTTCTCTCTATTCATTTTCCTAAGTGCAGCGTAATTGGAACAAAATCAGGAAGCAGGTCAGATTATAGAGGACGTCCTTAACGAGAGACCGTGATAAAAATTTAATTTTTGTTTTTTTCTCGTGGGGCGATAACTTGATAACGTGATTCAGTTTTGCTAAGAATAAAATCGATATTAAGAAAGGATTTGAGTAAAAATGTATTATCGTAAAAAACAGTTTCACTCTCAAGATCTCATAAGTGACTCTTTTCACTGTCTGTCATACAATTCTTGTGGTGTTAGTTCGGAAAACTTTGTATTGGACTGACTAATAATCCCATAATTGATATTTATCTTCATGCTCATCATGCGCCTGCCTGCTATTGTATTGGTATTGAAAGGAGAAATTCTGTTTTAAACACTCCAAGGAGTTAAAGGGTTAAGCAGGCTGAAATATAGGTATTGTAGCAATATAATTTCGAGTGCAATTTTATGTAAATAAGCCCGAGTGAATCTTTCAAAGATAACACTAGTACATGAGCCCGTCGGGCGAGTGCAATTTGTAGTCTTTACAACTAGGCACTCGTTTTCTGCCAATCAGAAGCGCGTAATTTTTTCATGTACATTATTAACTTACTAACGAGCTTTGTCTATACACTTGCAGATTCGTGGACCTGGATCACATCAAACGAGCGTGAGATCATCCTCTACACAGTCCAGCTCTCATACAGAATTTTCAGAGCAACTAAGGCCGTTAACCAAAGAAGGCAGAAAACGCAAGAAAAGCTCCAGCCATAGAAAAACATTCTTTCAAAACTTTAGACCAAAAGTGTTAGGTTCCTGTAGCATTGTATAAGGACTTTATTCTTTTAACCTGTGCGCGTCATACGCCTTGTAGCCTTCGAGTTGGAAGGCGTATGATAATTTTCCCTGCGAACGTGGAGCAGGCTCCTTGCAGCATCTCTAATTGTGCGATCGTAGTCGAAGTTACTCGTAGGCTGTTTAAAGTCGTTGAGAAGATTGTTTTGTTAACACTACCACGTATTGTCTTCAAGTGAGTGATCTGCTTCATTAAGGCTTCGTTTGAGGCGCATTTAACAAATGTAAATAGTGAAAACATGAGTAGGGAGTGGTGTGCGTGTTGGGCCGGTGGAGAGCAGCTGAGGAGAAGGCTAGTATGAATCATTCGCAAGAAGTTATAATCTCTTGTCATCTGATAGATGCAGTGTTCTACAATCTGAAGTTGACATGAGATCAGTGTATATGGAGAGATGTATACACTGGACCCTTTAACCCCTAACAGTGATTGGCTTTTAGTTTCTCTTTACTGTATCACTCTTGAATCAAATATTAAGGTCATTAGAATAAAGGAAATGATAACCAATTTCAGATGCTCTTGATTGTTAGTCAAATTCTCCTAATCAGTACTATAGGAAACGTGAAGAGAACAGTGGAGAGAATACTAATGTTAGGGTGTAAAAGGTTGTCATTTTTGATGTATTTCTTTTTTGCAAGACGGCCTTTGCTGTGATGTTTTATCTTGTGATTTGGATAGAAATTAGTATAAGCCGCTTTTTGCTTTCGCTGGCCTGTAATTGCTAGGAACGCTGAGTCAATGTTTGCAGATCTCTTGTTATCTTGAAATCAGTGCACCAACAATCGAATCAATCATAGATGTTTAAAGTAGCTTCAATCTATCGATTGAGATTTGTCTGTCACTTTCATACGCCAGTAACAATACCAGTCAGTAGCAATTACATTTACGTAGTGTCAGAAGTTATATGCGTTGTACATCGCCGTTGATTAAAAGTATCGTTGACCGTTGGTATATGTTGAATAATAAAGAAATAAACGAAGATGTTGCTGCGTGTTTTGCGTCCTAGGTGTGGAATCGGGTATCCAGTCCATTCGTTACCCACATTCATACAATACGTGCCCAGTTTCCGTCTACTCGTACCCGACCCGCTGGTTGATTCATACCCGTTCCAACATTCAGTGACGATCTAAATCCAGGAGATCTCACAAAATACCTCACGCACGAGCACGTGACCAAATGTCGATTGTTGTGCACAACAAGTAGAGTTCTTTTTTCCCTACTTGTGACCCTCATAATAATGAGACCAGACCCCGCATTTTGGTTCCAGGCCTTATATTCCGGTGGTCACGTGTTAAAAATAAACGTCACATAAACAAACTTATTTAACAGAGATCATATTGCTACCTAGCGTAAGAAACTGGTCCTCCTATAGTTATCTGTGCAGGCCAGAAAACGTAGTTTCAGAGTTAATCTAAGTAGTAGTTATTACAGGAATATCAACTCTGTCATATGCGCAAATACATAAATTGACCAAATTGATTAATTGTTAAAAATTAGACTCTCTGACACAGCGTGTTCGGATGACAATGTTTCATCTCTACACATGTTTTCAGGTCTAATGCTTTATTCAAAAATATATTTCTTCACTCTTTCTTTACTGTACATATGACAAAATTTATATACACTCTTGGAAATATTTACAAGGAAAGTTATAGTACATACATCAGATGAAGGAAAGTTATGGCATATACATCAGATTAAAAGACTTCGAAAATCATAGCAATTTCCTCATTTTTAGCCATGGATTAGGACAAGTATAAAATGAACTTATTCTGATATCAAAGAAAATATCAATAGTACATATTACCATAACAGCTCGGATTTCTGTCCCTAAGATCATAAAAATATTTTCTCACCGCAGTTACACTTTTTTCCAAAATCCCTCCTTCAAGGCCGAATCACTTCCATCTCTAAAGGAATTGGCTTCATCATAGCCCTTACTAGGTATTTGGAAGTGAGTCAACCGCAAGTGTTCTGAAACTTGTTTGCAGTTCGTATAAAACTTTAATACGTAATTGATTAATCTGTCTCGCAAGAAGACAGAAATCGAGGCCAAACATGGCATCAAAATGTGGAAGACAGCAAAACCCAGAAAAAAGGCTTTTCCCGTATATTGCAATTCCGATGATTTTGCGAGTGTCTAACCAGCTCATCATTGCTTTCCTTCTCCACCGTCTGCAGTTCAATTTTTTCGCCCCACCGTGGTGTCACAAATCGTCTTGAATTCAACGAGTTTAGATACCTGCTACAATAGGACTTTTCTTATCTGTTGAGCCAGGCTTTCGGTGTCTCGTTCTTCAACGTAGGATTGAGCAGGGATGAAGTATTTCTGCGACGAACGCAGTGTCAACAGATTAGACTGTTGGTACGGTTCATACACTGCTAAATCACCCTCGTCCGGAAACGGGTTCAATGTCAGAGTTTTTAGGTGAAGCACCATATTGTTTAACACCACACTGCGACGGGTTTGATAGATTTGTGGTAGAGGAAATGCTGGTGTAAACAAGGAAGAAGCAAAATAAAAATCACTGCTTCATAACCGCAAAAAGTGTTCAATTCAAGCGATTTTACAGAGTAATCTAACAAACAGATCGTTCTTTCGCTCGAGCCGCACTGCTCTCTCAAGACGAATAATAATTCAAAACTTTAGGCAATGTAAAGATAACAGTTTTCGATTTAGTGCCATAAACCAAGAACCAAAGTAACCACAACGGCCAATCAGAAACGTAGTTAACATCATGAAAAATGTTCCATCGATAAAAAAGACATCAATGAAAATTTTTGAAAACGAGAAAGATCAATAATACCAAACACTGAAGAAAAAGAAAAAGTGTTACCTAAGGCAAGAGACGTTTCTCTTTCTGGATGACAGTGACTGCAATGTGTTTCTCCAAGTCGTGCCAGACTCCGTTTGCTAAGTAGAAAAAAAGTTAATTTTCGGTTTCAATCTTGAAAAGTTTAGGTTAGGTTTCTTTACCAGTCCCCTACCCAGAGGTTCCCACGTACCTGTGTATTTTTGGCAGGACGAGCACTGTATTTCTGGAGTTGTCCTGGGCCTGAACGGGAGTCTTCTCTCGCGTTCGCGTTCGAGCTCTTTCCAGTTCTTCTTCCATTCTTATCTCACAAAAGTAGTTGATCGCTTCTGCAGGCATCGCCGTGTCAGCGGCTTTTCCTCCTAGGGCCTCAAGGTCAAAAGAGACTACAAAAGATAGGAAACACGTACATTGTCATTAAAACGAAAGGTACCTTCTTTCATATTATAACTCTGATTTAAGGGTAGGAAGAATAACTTCTGCGATAATTGTACGGTATTTGGGACAATTGCACTATTCATGGTATTTTAGACAAAGAACAGGACACATATACAAAGAGAATAAGGTTCAGTTTATACTTACTGGTCGTCGGCTTGGACATCTCGGACGTTGTCCTCTGGGAAAACAAAACAAAACAAGAAAAACAACAAAAAAAACAAGTCAAACAATAAAACAAAAAACAAGAAGTTGTCAATTACATAGAAAGGCTTTTTTTTTCACGCTACCACAACACGAGGATTACGAATCAAACAGACCTGTGAGCTGTCTGTCTTCAAAATTCCTTTGATAGAGCTGGGTGTCTTTGGCGTCTTTGTTCCTCTAGGTTTACGAAACGAAAAAAAGTATTCAATAAAGAAAGACAACATAGTGTACATTGGTTGAATAACTCACACTCCCAATCCATAATTGGGCCTAAAGACAATTCACAGCTGCCATTCCTTCTCTAAACTTAGTCGCACCAGACTCTACAGCCAATTAACACGTCTTACCACAAATTTCATCATGAATTTTTCGATATACTAGTGTCTGACTTTCTACCACTTTATTTGTTGCAGTGGCACCTGTCCCCAACGTAATACTACCCGTGGGAGACATCCTCTTTCAGCTTCCCTCGAACCCGTCCATAGCAGCGACTAAATTTTGCTATTAATGACAATATATTCAGATGTATATCAAATAGGAGTTATGACATAAGAACAGACTCACTTGACTACACTGCCAGCTTGAGCGCGACTGATCTTGCCAGCCAAGGATCGGATGTGTTGTCTGAACTGACCGAGCCACTTGTTTAGCCACTGGACACACATGTCCTTTACACGAGCCTTCCTTCTGTTTCCAGGGATACTCTGGTAGATAAGGAAAGGAAAACAAAATTGCATAGTTCAGCCAGCACGTTCGTCAAATAACATAACCAAACTGACTAGTTTGATTATCCTCTGGGGCTGGATTTCTTAAAACCCGATGACCACTGATTCTAAGGGCAGACAGAATACCATGGCAACAGAATTGGAATCAGTGCTAATTTTGCTTCAAACAACTCAGCTCAGCTTGGATTAAACAGATGAACGCTTACTCGAGTCTATAGGCGGGGTATATTTCACTTAGTTGTGACCATAGGGAGACATTTATGGTTATTTTTTTACCGTTAGCAACTTCGCTTTACTGATCATGTACCATGTATTCGTACATAAATTTGTATACGTACCGTGGTATCGAATGAGTCCAGTTCCTTGACAAAGTACCCAGCAGTGTCTGGTACTCCTATAGAAGCTAGCAATTCTAGAACAAACTTCCTGTAAGTTCCAAAAATGCACAGAAATCAGCTATCAATTTGTTATAAATCATAATTTCATACGATAATCTAAAACAAGTATATGTAAGTAAGGTGTTAAAAAAAATAACAACGAAAAAAACTCCGAGTCGCAAGTGAGAATTTAGACCAGAGGTACATGACTTTCTCATTTCAAAGTCGCTTACTCTTTGTCGAGCTGCAATAAGCCATATGTTAGATAAATACGCTAAAGGCGTACTGCATACTGCTAGGATCAGAAATATCGAACACGAACTGTGTGCATACACTAATGTGAGGCAACAAAAATGATAAATTTTGAACTTACTATTAAGCATTTACCACGGATTACCGTGCGTGTACTTATTCACTCTAAAGATTACACGTATATTATACTGTGTAAGCTTTGGAGCACTGCTTTACTTATTAGAAAGAAAACTGTGTTTTCATGTGAGCGAGCTGTTAAGAAAGAGGCTACAGCTGAAATGATTTTAAGCACGAAACAAAATAACGAAGCGAATCACTTCGCAAAATTGATAAACTTTTTGAGGTAGTTCCTTTCAAGCATGTGATATGTATGTTGGCTGTTGCTGGCTAATATGGCAAGATACAGTTTGCAGACAAACGTTTCTTTCTGTAGGCAACAGTACCTGATTTCCTCATCACCATCAATAAACTGCGCCATAAGTTCAGCCACAAAGGACACTTCATACACTTTCATTGTGTGCGAAAGCTGTAGAGCCACGCGCAAAAACTGTTTGGCCTGGGACGAGCCATGTGCAGTAGGATGATCTGGGATATTCAGTTCAGCTATTGTGGTTCGATTGACTTTCTCGGCCGCGTCTCGGTCCAGACCTTCTTGACGATATAAGAGCATTATGGCCTGCAAATATGAAGAGGAAAAAAAATTTGGCAATCGGCATGCGTCATTCAAAGAATGAAAATTAACGCTGATCTTCCAAACGCAGACCAATTAACTTTTATCAGGCGCCAATCCAATCTATTACATGTAACATTCTTTTCAATACAAAAAGAGTATAAAATCAAGTATGAAAGGGCTCTGCATTTGAAACCAAGCCAAACACAGCAGCCAATACTTTACTTACAGCGCAAATCTGTGTCTTCAGTTCATGGTCATTTGTCTTCTGAATCAGGGTCAGTAAAACTTCCACAAAGCTCTCTGGTGTCCAAGGTCTTGGAAATGTCTGAAAATGAGTTGTACCAACTATTAAACCATGCTTTCCTTCTGGTTTTTTCTCGTTTGTACACAATAACAAGGTTACATCGTTTCACTACTCAACATCCTGCGTGTTGTTGATCTGGTCTAAAATTTATACTGTTCGACCCAGCCGGTTAAAGGTGGGTAACGCTATCCAACGATAAATCGCGACCCAGCGGATAACTGTTAGCAAAAGATATATTTAGAGAGATTTATCCAATGAATAGCGTTATCCTTACTTCAAATAACTGAAGCCTCACGGTCGTTAGTCCGTTATCAAAATACCTGAGGCAACCAGTTGGTGGCTATATCGATTAAACGACTAATTCTATGAAACATATTTCAAATCACCATTGAAAAAAAAAAATTAAACAATTGTTTTCAGCTGCATACCTCTGAGTCTGCGTCGGGGAAGAATTTGTCAAACCAAAGTGTTCCCTTAAACTGAGTAATAAACGATGGCAACGGAGTAGGAGGGGGTGGGGGAGGGATTGGAGTTGGTTCTTTGGTCGGAGGAGGAGGAGAAGGTGTGCTGAAAAATAACAAGAGAAAAATGGATTAGTAAAAGAAACACAGAACCTTTCGGGAGGGGAAAAGGGGGAAGAAGGCAAAGATCAAAACACATGAAAAGGTGCTACATTGTTACGATCAATCAACTAGCGAGTTAGCGACGGTTGAAGTTGGAAAATAAGCAAATATTTTTTAATATGCTAAGATTTAGTTGTAGGTTTTAAATTCTCCAAGCCCACAAGTAGTTTAATAAGTAAACTAAGTGACGGGTACTCTTATGACTATATTACTGGTTTACATTTCCAGAGTCAATCTCGTCATGTAGCCCGACATACCTTGAAAGTTACCAGCAATAACATAAGTAAGGTTCTGAGGCTCGAAATTCTGCATTTCATTGGCTAGCCCAGGTGGGGTAGTGATTTTAAAAGTTGGATTTTTGTGTATTCATTATTTCGAACCAACTTTCCTCGCATTTCATGGCATTTAAATGGCAACTATATTTTAACACACACTTATATTTGTATCATATTATTTATTTGAATACTTCAGGGTTAGAGACTTTTACGTTTAAATTTACCTTAGTTTAAGCGCTTTCATGTCTCTGTTTATATCTTCATTTGCACGCGAGATAAGCTCAATTACCAAAGAAGGACTTTCCAACATTTCACTTCTTTTCTCATGTACATGCATAACTTCATTTTCAATTGGTAGCTCGAAAGAGGACGTCCGATCAGTCATGGTTAATATGCTGTGATGACTTCTGGGCAGCGGTCTTTAAACGGAAAGGGTGTTTTTAATGGAGTTCACTAAATACATCATTTATTTATTTATTAAGTTATTTATTCATTTCAGCTTTAAAGCTGAATCAATAACAAGTCTAATCTAATCTAACCTAATCTTTGCGAGAAATGCGTGGGTTCTTTTAGTGTCCCTTGCAAACCAGTACATGGAAAATGCAGGGGATGGGCATACGGTTTATCGTCCTTATCCGAGATGACTAGAACGTCTAACCATTTGCAGATGTCATAGCAAAGGCAACACACTCTCCTCAATTAAATGAGGCCCCGAGTGTTGGTCTGGTCTGCGTCGGGAACCTTCGATCTACCACACGGCATTGCGGCGCGGTTCTCAGGTTCTTGTCACTAACGGTTGATTTCAAATTCAGTTAAATAAACAAGGAAGCACCTCTTCGCTTTCAATTACATTTGCGCGAAATTAAAAAAGGTTTATAGATAGCATTCATCATAGATTACGGCTTTTTTTTTTAAATCTCTCGTTACAGTAAGGTTTATGGGACAACTGCTTCGTGTGCAACAAAATAACTCAGCATTATTTAGTGCTGTATTCACAACCGTCAAAGATTGTCTTTTTTCAGGTGTAGTTCATCTTTCGAACAAGCCCATAATCTGGTATGCGTGTGATTAACAGTTAACTTAAGGTTTAGTTCTTGAATTTTAAATCAAAATGTTAACTGACACTTCAATAGTTCTCTAGTAATATGAGCTTCGACGTAAGCGTTCTCCGGTCATTTACTGGAGAGCGTCAAAAAAATTACATTTGAAAAGTCATCTTAATCGAGATTCACGGCAGCAAATCCTCTTAAACGGAGTGCGCATTTCAGATTTTGCATTTTGAAAGTTACCTTGATCGAGATTTACGGAGATTTATGGAGATTTACGAAGGCAAATCCTCTTAAACGGATCACATC